GAAATCAAAAGACATGAAGAAATCTTCTGTCAGGGACCTTTCCATATTCTTAAAGAGGAAGAATGTCAGTTTAAAGAATAAGGTATGCTTGATCCAAGCCATGAGGTTGGTTTTTTGTTTGTTTTGGTTTTTCATTTGCTTCACATGCATCTTAAATATGGACAGTGAAAAAGGATGGCAGAAGAAGAATCAATGTCTTTGAGTTGTAGTATAGGCGAAGAGTATTGAATATACCATGGACTGCCAAAAATCTGTCTTAAAAGAAGGGCAACTAGAGTGCTCCTTAAGGAGCATGGATAATGAAGCTTTTTCTCACTTCAGACATAACATGTCCTTGGAAAGAGACATCATGATAGGAAAGGTAGAGAAGAAGACCCTCAGAGAGGCAGATTACACAGTGACTACTACAGTTGATTCGAGCAGGATAGGCCAAGGTTCAGGTCTGTTGTTTATTGACTTGATGACACTTAACAGAAAACTAATCAAGGTTGAAAAAGCATATAAAATATGCATTAATTAGAATTAAGAAAGTATGACTAGCTATCAGATGTTGAGGCCACCAAACTCCTCTGAGGAAGTGAGTTGGGCAGCGTGAACTGAAACCCAGTGATGGTCAGCTATAAGTCAGTTCCAACCTGATAAGCTTTCTTTTTATTCAGAGAATTGGGTTGTATAATAAAACTTGATTCACAAATGATTTCCTTTCTTTCAGGCCTGCCATACCTCATTCTTCACCCCAAGGGGAATTTAAGAACAGATTACCTTTAGGTTTCTGTTGTTTTTATATACCATAGAGGCAGTTAATCACATGGGATGAGAGTGCCCATCTTTATATACCCTCTTATTCCCTCTGGATTTCTGCCAATATTCAACCAGAAACCAGCTAGACTTGCTAATGATAAGGTGAATCTGAGAAAAAGTACGTAAGAAGGAATTAAGAATGCTGGTGACTAACATGATATTGATAATAAAGAGGAGTTATGGATGAAGCGTGAGGACCCAGAGCAGTCTTCTATCATGGACTGAAAAAATACTATATAGTGGTGAGGAAGAAAAGTGATATATTGCTGCACTGAAATTTCATATGTGAACGAAATTTCATATGTGAACTTGTGTCAGTTACACAGTGTGGTTAGATAGGAGGTTAAATTTCGAAAGATAACCTGAGTAACGAACCTAGCTAGCTTATGCTTGGGAAATATTTCCTGTGTTCTTCAGATGCAGCCACGTTTTTATTAATATCTGAAGCTAGTAAAATGAGTTTTTTGAAATGGTGGTACTTAATTGTTAAAAATCTTAAAAACAAAAGTTTTCCATTTTATCGATTATTTCTATTTTGCATACATAAGGGATTTTAAAAAACCTTATTCTTAGACACTTGTTTGTAACTTATTGTCCAAAATAAGGTGAAGCCTTTTTCACTGGTGATTTAAGCTTACTTTAAAATTAATTCGGAACATTTTAAAAGTAATTCTTATACTTAATTTCCATTTCTCTTTTTACACAGGAACCTTTTGAGGATGGTTTTGCGAATGGAGAGGAAAGTACTCCAACCAGAGAGGCTGTGGTCACATATGCGGCAGAAAGTAAAGGCGTTGTGAAGTTTGGCTGGATCAAGGGTGTGTTAGTAAGTATACTTAGATTGAAATTTAGAATTACAGCATTCTTAGATTTAGATTTCAAGAATCTTTGGATATTATCCTCAGTTCTCAAGATAACTTTTCTTGAAACATCTTTTCTGATTTTTGGAAGTCCAATACTTTGTAACTTCCTTTTCTTTTTGGTATTAAATGCAGTATACAAAAACCTCTTACTTCACTTAACTAGTTTGTATATGACTATCTCTAAAATATGTTTCATTACTTCTTGGAAACTCATTGCCAGTTTTCAGAAATAAGCATAGAGTTTTTAAATTGCTAGACCCTTTTAAACCAAAAAGCTGAACAGAGACTAGAACTTAAATATGTGTCTGCTTTCTTCATAGTAACCTATTATCATTTGAAAAGAAGTGTTTAGAAATTAATAGCCAACAGATTGAGAAAGAAATGCTTTTCCCCTCAAGGATTAAGCTGATTTCAGTAGACAGATTTAGATGATTAAGATACAAATAATTGTTTTTGTGTATTTGAATAGACATGAAAATGATTACTATAGACAGGTTAAATTGACTTCTCACTGGAACTTTGGAAATATTTAATTAGAGTATTGACATTTTGTGTATAAGTAGGAAAGAAAAAAAAAATCTCAGCTGTAGAGGTAATTTGTTCCCCAATCAATATGGGTGAATTATAAAGTGCAAGGTAATAATAAATGTCTATTCTTAGATTTTAAGTATTTTAGAGAACTTCATGAAAATAAAGACATACGGTTTAGATTTTTTAAAAAAAAAGTATTGTCAAGCAGTGTTTTATGTTGACAGATCTGTATATATAGATAGATGCTTAAAATCTTCAGAAATTATTTAGAATGAGCATATTATAAAGACATGATCTGAAAATTAAACTTCTATTTGCTTGATTAAAAGGGAACATGAATTCTTTTAGGGCCAAGATCTTCAAATAATCCTATATGTTTCTTGTTCTGTTGTTTTGCTACCTCATAATGATGACATTTTCTACTCTTTTTGTCTTTTGAGATATCTGGGAGTAAATGAGTGGATAAATGGGTATATGTGTATTTATATGTGTCTGTATGTTTCTCTACGTACATGAATATTTATCTGTGGTTTACTTGGATTAACTTATTAAAGATCTCATTAAGCTCTTTTAAACATTTTAAGAAAATGTTGATGTAGGAGATAGCTTTAAAATATTTTTTATAGTCTCAAATTCATGTTACCCTAGCATTTATCATTTAGCATTTATCACTAATTACAGTTTATTTTTCTTCATATATGACTGGGTCTTATTTTTTCCTTCTAGGTCCGGTGTATGTTGAATATTTGGGGTGTGATGCTCTTTATTAGATTGTCATGGATTGTGGGTCAAGCTGGAATAGGTAAATAAAGTTACCACTTAACTCATTTGAGAATAACTAATAAGCAAAATAGTTGTGTGTGTATCTGGCTGCTCAACTTTATAAACTTGGGTAATTGCAACCATTAGAACTGTATTGTCCTATATATCAGATTATTTTTGTGTTCATAGTTCTGACCTGGTTTGTATATAATAGGGCAAAATAAGGTAATTTATAAGTGTTAAGAAAAATGAAGTATTCTAGGAGTAACTAGTCCTTGATACATCAGTTTTAAATGGGTGTAAGAATATTCTAATTTTTTTTTTTCTTTAAAGGTCTCTCAGTCCTTGTAATAATGATGGCTACTGTTGTGACAACTATCACTGGATTGTCTACTTCAGCAATAGCTACTAATGGATTTGTAAGAGGAGGTAAATTTAGGCACTTTATATTACCATATCAGAAAACTTACATCATATTTTTGATTTTTTACCTTAACCAAAGCAACATTTCATGTCCAAATAAACCATGTAGGCAGTATGTTATTCCTGTATAGGCAAGGAATTCATAGCTGAGGACTTTTGATTTATTATTCTTTTTTTTTTTTTCAATCCATATACACTCATATTTCAAGGGAACTTTCTGGACAACTTGGAGTTCTTCCGGGGGGGGGGGGAAATCCCTGTCATTCAGAGACAGTTTGAGTTCATTCTTGACAACTACTGCTACGCAGCTGCAGCTTTAAGTTCTTGAGCACATTCACAGGTTTTTAGCTACATCTTCCCTGGAAAGACCGTATTTTATTTTTCCCTCCCAAGCCTTTACCCTTAAACTGGTAGTTTACATTTGGACAACATTGTACAAGTTTAGTTTTTTGTTCCTAAGGAGAATGGGGCATGAAGCCAATGATGGCGTGAACCCCAAATTGTTTGAATGTGAACCCAAAAGTAGAGAAATGAGCATTTTCTAGGATTGTGGCTTGGCATACTATTGGTAGTTTTAAAGCATTAGTCTGCTCAAATAATGAAACCTGTAGAAGAAGAAAGATAAGTCATTGACTTGAAATGACCTCATATTCAGTGTGAAGCTTTGGTACAAGGCAGTCATTTTTTTGTATTTTAGTGGCTTTGGAGACATGGCTAACCCTTTACAAACTAAATAAGCTGCACTGTTTTATGTTTCCTTTGTTTTTTTGAGATTGATTCTTTGCATATGAACTGCTCTTTTCTGCTGTTTCAATTTCATGAACTTGGAGTAGCCTTACAAGGTTTATCTTGATATCATGGGAAGATGTATTTTCCACATGGAAGAAAGTGTCACATAGCCAAATGGTCCCAGGTCCTGGTGAGCTCATGTACAGTGGAATCAGATGGTGCCTGGTCCAATGCCAACACAGGATTGGTCGCAAATTAGGCTGTTGTGTTCCATAGGACTTATGTCAAATTATTTTTGGAAATGCATCCTCGAACTTTCCCCAGTCACCTTACACCCCTTTAGTCTATCTTGGTGTGGAAACTACTCCACTCAAGCTGTTCAACATTAATTACAGCATGTGAAGAAGTTTGTGAATCTGACATGTATGGGATTGTAATTAGTCATAGAGTTTCCAGAGGCATGTTGTTTAGGAAGTGGATGCCACACTTCTGCTTCCAAAACCTGGTTTTAGAGGCTGTAAATTGAAATGAGAGGAGACTGGACTCATCTTTCTCCCTTGTAGTAGTCAAATTGCCAGTGACAGGGAGTTTTATTTAGTAGCTCATTTCTGTACAAACTGCACCACCAGAAGCTCCCTAAATAAAAAGATAATGCACAGAAAATTGCGTAGTCCAGAAAATCTTGAGGCATTATAAGCCTGTGTATTTCATGTGTTAAGATGAAGTCTTACCTATTGTATTTCAGTCAGTTAACAAACAACAGGTAATTGTTGAACAATTACTTTGTGTTAACATGAATAAATAATGTGTTATTAGGTGCTGTTAAGTCAGCTCTTGCTCATAGCAACCATGTGAACAAATCTGAACCTAGTTCCTGTTTATCACCTTTCTCTATCCTCTGTATCATCACAATCTCCATTATACTCAAGCTTGTTGTTGAAGTCACTGTGTCACTCCATCTCTTGAAGACCTTATTTTTCTCTGACCTGACAAAATTCAACAGATACTTGTTTCCTCTGAGATGTATTCGTTTGTTCTTTTGGCAGTCTTTGCAATATTTGGTACTCTTCTCCAACACCAGTTTACAAGCATTGATTTTTTTTCTTTGGTCTTCTGTATTTATGGTCCAACATTCAGATGCATAAGAACCAATTGAAAACACCATGGCTTGCATCATGCACATCTCAGTCTGACATCCTTTCTTTTTAGTACTTAAAGAGGTCCTTGACCACGGATTTCCCCAATGCAACACATCTTTTGATTTCTTGACTGATCCGTACTGTGGTTGTTGATTGTGAGTCAAGTAAAATGAAGTCCTTTGTTTTCATAATGTTGAGCTGTTACCCATATTGAAGGCTGTAGTCTTTGATCTTCTTTAGTAATTGCTTCAAGTCTTTCTCACTTTCTGTAAACAAGGTTGGACATTGGATTCTGCCTGCACAGTTTACCCGTAGCTTTAGCAGCAGATAGAGTAGGGGTATATCTACACATAGGGAGCATTGGTAGCCTTGTATTGAGAAGTTTAATGCTGTCAACCTATTAATACTAGATATTATTATTAATTAAAATATTATATTAATAATAATATAATTATATAATGTAATAATATATATGATTATGTTATTTTATATATAATATAATTATAATTATATTATACATGATATTACTATATTCTATAATATAATTATATAATATAATAATATATAATAATAAATAAGAATAATTATTATTAATAACACCTGCATAATACTAAGTAATAGTAGCTGACTTTTTTCTGAGATAGAAATGCTTGCCTGAATCAGTGATCTTGACATTCTCTTCTTTGATACATTATTGTGAGTAGTAGTATTGTATATAGATAACTAACTCATATGTATAAGAGTTATACCCATTTTTAGCAAAATGAAATCTTAATGTGGATAAATCTATTTTAGATGTCTGTTGTTTTGTACAGTAGAGTTGGAACCAACCCATAGCTGGCCTTCCAGCAGGTTTTCAGAAGCATTTACTTGCATGGCAGGAGATTGCCCATCCTTCTCCTGTGGAGCAACTGATGGCCTTGAACCATGTGCTTTCAGGATTGCAGCGCAACAGCAATTTCTTGTAAAGCACACAACCACCATTAAAACCAGTAATTCTACTCACAGCCAACTTTCCTCTGCGTTTCTCAGGCTGTAAATCACACAGGAAGAGATTACCCATCTTTCTCCTGCTGGTGAGCCAGCAGTGGATATGGCCTCAGGGTCAGCATTGCAACTCCCTACAGATGATGTTACCAGTGCTCCCTTATTCTGTGGCATTTGAGTAAAATGAAAATCTATACTCACATAAAAACCTCTGTGATTATAGTGGATTTATTTATAACAGCCAAAATCTGGAAATAATCCAACTGTCTCTGAACTGGAAAATGAATAAATATGTGGTATATCTAGAAAACATTATTCATCAGTAAAAATGACTTGAGTAATCACCAAAATACACACATATAACGATCTGCCAGATTCACATGTGAGCTACTTGTTTTACAAGTAGTGTTTTACTAAATCAAAAGTAAATTGCTGGTTAAATTTAACTTCATAATGTAATAGTTACAGAACTGCCTAAAGCTTTAAATTATTTCACTGTAGTAAAAGAAAAGTTATAGTTTCAAAGAAAACAGTAATCTAAAAGGAAAGAACTACAGAACTGAATTTTACCTTAGAACTCTTTCTTTAGCAATGGATAGAGAAGTTTTATAACCAATGACAATTTAATTTCATCAATACAGAAAGCACTATTCATTACTAACAATAAATAAAAATACCAGAATTATTTCCTCACTTAAAAAAAGAGTACAAACAGTTAAGTCTGGTTTATTATGATCTAGACATCTAGAGGATGATCTGTTTTGCATATAGATTGAAAAGTTGTGGAGACAAGAGGCATCCCTGACGTACTTCCTTCCTGATTTTGAACGCTGCTTTGTTCAGAGGACTGTTTCTTGGTCCAAGTATAGGTTTTGCATAAGCACAGTCGAGTGCTCTTAGGATCTTTATTACTTTCATTGGGGTTTTGGTTATTGATTTGGGCTCTTTTGGCCACAAATCCATTTATAACATATCCACAAAGCCATCTATAATAATAATGAAGCCGAAATTATGGCTGTGAGGCTTCTGTGTTTCATAGTGGCTTTTTGGTTTGCTTGAGCAATATTTTTAAAAGAAATGAAACTTTTTTTTCCCAGTTGATGTCTTTTAATACTTGAAAATTTATTTCTCACACTGTTAAGCATTCAGTGATAATAGAAAGGCGTATTTTCAGGATTTTATGAGTAAGACCTGAATTTAAACCCAGTTCTTGACATTTTGTGTACATGATTTTGAGCAAATTACAGACATCCCCTAAGGCGTAATAATATATAAAATGGACATGATAACAGTAAATAACATGCCTATTTTATCTTGATTAGTGAAAACACCAGTCTTTTATAGTAGTAGAGCAAAGGCAAAAATGAAGTGTTTAGCTGCTAACATAAAAATGTTTGCAGTTTGAAAAAGCAACTGCTCAGCAGAAGAGTTGGTGGTCTGCTCCCTGGAAAACCCCATGGAGCAGTTCTACTCTGTCACATGAAGTATGTAAGTTAAAAATCAACTTAATACAACTAACAGCCTTTTAAAATTATTTTTAAAAGAAAGTTCACTGCAAGATCTGTTCTTAAAACTTAGTTGTCTTTAGGAAACAGCTGGAGTTGGGAAGGAATAAAACAGAGAACTTTTGCTTTTCTTCATAGGCTCTTCTGTTATTTGTGTATTTTCTAATTTACATAAAGATTATTGAATCTGTCTGTGACATCTCCATTTTCCTCTTAGCCTGTGTCTTCTTCATTTCTAAGTTTTGCCTGTATATAAATTAAATCTGCCTGCTTAGTCATATAGTATCAAATCTTTTTTTGTTTGGCCCCAATATGGTAAAATATGGATAGTTGGAAATCTTGTATTTTTTTTTTAGTGTTAGAATTTTTTTAAATTTATTATTAATTTCAATGAAAATTTGGATTTCCATTCATTCATTGTTGTACTTTTCTCCCCTCTCAATCCTCCCCCATAGTACACTACCCTCTTGGAAAAGTAAAAGAAAAATTCTTTCATTGATTTACAATCCCTCCCCCCAGGTCTAATCCACTATGCAGCCTTCGCTCTGGACTCCTGTCATGACAAAAATACCTAATCACATATCTCTTTTAAACAGTTTTCTCCTTCATCTCTTTCAGTGCAGTAATACATTATTTAATCCATCTTTCTCAGTCTCCCCCCAACCCCAATGTCAGTCCTGTTTTATAAAAATAATGTTGTAGTAATCTTTCAATTGCTAGTCATATAGAGATGATCCAAGTCAGTTTAGGGATTGCAAAATAAGGTTTATACTCTTTAGGTTCCCTACCACAGATTTACCCCTACCTCTCCATGTGTCTCCAAAGGGAGAAAGGAAAAAGAAAGCAGAAGAATAGCTTTATAATTCTCCTGACAGGTAAAATAGAAAGTAAATATGAGAAACTGCTTTTATATTCCTGTGCTCTTATTTTCTTGAAAAGAGAGAATGTTAATCTAAAAGACAGTAAAAATAGTTCTGAAAATACAAGGTATATTTTGCTTTCCAAGGTTTCTTCTCATTGTTAACTAAATAATAGAATCTGCTTCCCTTTTCACTTTTTTTAATAATAGAAAGGCTCAAGTTTATAAAGTCAAAACGTTATGGCACATCTTAACAAATAAATTCCTTGTTTTTATATTTACTTTTGGTGATACTTTACATTGTAAATTTTATAAACTATTTAAACACCAAGTGGTTGATTTTATTCAGTTAACCTTTCTAAAGAAATAGTAACCAGGAAAGAGAATCATTTATTATTATTATCTATCAAATCAAGATATGGGTACAGGTATATGTCATTTCCAGGCCATTTGGACAGCATCTCACAGCAGATATATCTGTAGGCTTGTAAAGCTGTTTTTGGTTTTCGTTTTAAAAGAAAAAGCATCTCACCTTTCGTTTATTTTCCCATGATGATTTGAAAGGCTTCAAATCACCTTTTCACAACACTTGCCCAGAAGAGGGATGAAGACAAGTGAGACAAAGAACATGGTCCCAGACATAGCTTTCAAGCTCTGCTGTAGGCACAAATGCTGCTCTGTGTGTGTAGGTAGATGAAACAGCAGTTGGGGACAGAATGTTTTCCACATTCTTTCTATTCACTTCATGTTTCTTCAGTCACTGCCTCTACCACAACTACCAGTAATTCTACTGCCATTTTTCCCAGTGCCCCTAACCTCCTGCATCAGTGGCTGCTTCATGAGGATGACCAGAAGTAGGCTCCTATAGGTTTTCATATGTTGCTTTCACAGTGCCTAAATCATAGTATGTTCTATTTCATTCAACATACCATTGAATAGTTCCTCGTTATACTTGTCTTTCTCCCTTGGAGATATTAAGAGTAAATTAAATAGTTTAGATAAGCTTAAAAACATGTCTGTTAGATATAAACTGTTAATTGTATTTTTCCAGAGGTTTTCCTTATAATAATGGTTTAATATCTTCAAACTTGATTCTAAAATCTTTGTATCATGCAAAGTTGCCATAATACTCACTTAGAAATTTTATTCAAAAAGATGTCTGGGAAGTTTTAAATCATGTTCATGGGGTAAAAAAATCAAAAGATTAGTATCAAGTGATACAGATCATGTGTTACTAAGATGATTCATTAGTAAAAAGCATAGCTAAAGAAATTTTATTTTGATTGATTTAGTGTTGAATAATTTGAGACTAGGTGGAATTAATTCTAAACCCTTTATAGAAATCCCAAGATGAAATATGCATGTGCAGTAGTTTATGTAATTATCGGATATTTTGTTTCATTTGCATTTATTCTGAGAAATCAGTAGAAATAAATATTGAACTATTTAATGATAATTTCATTTATAGTATTAAGAATTAGATATTTCATCACCATCTACAGAAGTTTATATAAGTTCATATAACTCCAGTATTATTAAGATGAAGTTTATTATTATAACATAGTATTTATTAGAATACAATGTAGAAATCTTAGCAATACCAGGATATGTTATTTATTGTAGTTTGAGATTTTTATTTCGTTTTCATAATACCAGTAAATTACCATACTAATATCAGTAACTGAAATCATACAACTGATTTGTTATTTTAACTGTGTTTACAGGGACTCTGGTGGCCTAGTGGTAAGGAGTTATATTACCAACTCAAAGACACACAGTTCCACCAGCTGTCCCACGAGAGAAAGAGGGATAATCTCCTGCCGTGCAGTTTACAGACTCTGAGGGCATACTGGGGGCCAACTATGAGTCGGTTTCAACTTGACAGCACATAATAATAATAATAATAATAATTAATCATGATAATAATAACAACAAAAATATGTTTTAGGTAAAAGCTTACATAGCAAATTAGTTTACTGTTTAGTAATTCAAATACAGATCACTTACATAGCAAATTAGTTTACTATTCAGTAATTCAAATACAAATCCTTCTGTGCTATTGGCAGGGCTGCAGTCTCTTAATTTATCAACACTTAAAATTTAGAAAAGTAAATTCCTGTTTCCATTTATCCAAATTCCCTGCCCCTTCCTGCTTTCTCATTTTTTGTTTTGGAAAGTTCCTGCTCTTTTGCTGGTTGTTCTAAGGAAGATTATTTCTCATGAATATTATGTATGTTATTTTTAAAAAAAACCCTTAAGCCTTGAAACTGACTTAGAGCTGATCCTTCAGTAAGTAGTCCAAGGTTGTAAATCACACAGGAAGAAGATTGTCCATCTTTCTCCACTAAAGCAACTGATGAACGTGAACCACCAGAGAAATGCTACCTTTGGCTTAACAGCTTCACTCTCTACAGTCTGTGTCACCTGAGTTCCCTTTTAGTATTTTGTTGTTGTTGTTGTTAGGTGCCACTTTGACTCCAAAGCTATAAGTCACACAGAAGGAGCTTGCCATTCTTCTGTGAAGCAGTTGGTGGTATTGAACCACCAGTAAGATGCTGTCTTTCGTTTAGCAGCTTAACTCTATTTTATATGTTACCAGAGATCCCAGTATTATTTTTGTTGTTGTTAGGTGACACTTTGACTACTCTCAGAGGGACCCTTTGCACAAGCAGATCTGAAGCCGGTCCTATCCTGCACTATCCTCAAGATCTCTGAAATACTGAAGACACTGTTAAAATCACTCCTGTCAGTCTTAGCTAGTGGGAGGTCTCCCTTTCTTACTCTGACTCACCTTGTTATTTGGAAGGAGACTTCTGGGGGGTGCTTCATTTCTACTTAGTAGAAAGTAGTCTCATGGGTTATTTTAGTCTCCAATCAATAATCTGATTTTTTTAAATGAATTTGAATTTTGCTATGCATTATTGACTCATTTTAACTTGGTCTACCTGTTGCATCCCTGGTCAGAAATGTCATAGTGGTAGCTAGGAACCATCTTGTTTTTTATCTCAGGCTAGAGGAAGCTGTGGGTCATACAGACTCATTAGTCTTTCTGACAAATTGTTTCCTCCAGTGTTTGGTTTCTTTTGTTCTCCTTTGCTCCAGTCAAGAGAAGATCTTTAGTTGTGTCTTAGATGGCCACTAGAGTTTAAGATGCTACTAACCAAATTAGTATGTAAAACACTGTCTCTTATGCTATTTATTGCCAGTTTAGAGCATTCCCTCCTCCTCTGTCTGAGACTGTGGTCCTTAGCATTCAAGCCTAATATTTCATTCAGCTCTACAAGGTTTGGTTATATTTAAGAATTTTCATTGGTGTACCTACTGTTTTCTCTATATATGAATTACATGTACAGCACATACAAACATGTATATAGAAAAATTCACAACCATACCTATGTATACATACAGATGTAGTCTTATACAACTTCCAGCACCTATTTAGCATACACATATATTTATATATTTACTAACATATTGTTTCTCACTCTGATTTCAAAGGTTTTATTAGAATTTAAAATGTTACTTAGAAAATCACTAGGAGATCATCTTGGTATTCATTAATATAGAGAGGAAATGGAATAGTTGTTACCCGTTTTAATATAATAGTTTGAGGAGAACATTAGAACTTCTAAATCACAGTGATATTGTATTAGATATGGGGAAAATTTTCTGGACATTGAGAACTTAATAAAACGAGTTGTTCAGTATTCTGTTTGGGTTGGGTATTTTCTGTGAATACATTAATTCACTTGCCTATTTTTTTAACTGCTATGCTTATTGTAAGCATCTTCTTTTTAATTGAACATTTGAAAAGAAGATTGGTGTTTTAAATCCTGATTTCAATATTTCTTTTCTTTTTAGGAGGAGCATATTATTTAATATCTAGAAGTCTAGGACCAGAATTTGGTGGCGCAATTGGCCTGATCTTTGCTTTTGCTAATGCTGTTGCTGTTGCTATGTATGTGGTTGGATTTGCAGAAACTGTGGTGGAGTTGCTTAAGGTAATTCCTTTTTCTTCGAGTTATTCATGTAGCATCTTTTTTAAATGAGAGAAATGTTGTACTCATTCTCACAGGTGATTGAGAAGCAGTGATGTGCAGAAATTAGTACTTAAAAGATATTTAGTGGATGACATTGTCAAATAAATTAGTATGGAATTTGAAAGGTTAAATATAGGAAACCATTTCTTTATAGAAGAGGGAAGCACTTACTATTTAGGAGTGGGGTAGTTGAAATGTTAACAGAGAGAGTCAAGACGTTAATAGGCAAATTTTGAAGATTGATAGACGAAGGTATAGAAGAGGAGTTGTGTACTGTCGTAGTTGTATAGAGTCAGAAGTGACGCATAGCTGATCCTCCAGCGGGTAAATCGCACAGGAGAAAACTACCCATTCTTCTCCCCCAGAGCAGCTGGGTTGCAGCACAGATTTTACCACTAAGCTGTCAGAGCACATCCATTAAGGAAACAAAATATTTCATTATCTCTGAATCAAAAGTGACAAGATCAAGTAAGGAAAGATCTAGTTTGCAGTTTGAGTCTGTTTTGAGGGTCACTGTGACCATTTTTAGCGTGTAAGATTGGAAGGAGCCCTACCTGCCTAAGTGGTTAAAAGGTTGAGTTGCTAATCAAAAGCAACAGCTGTTAATTACACCACTACTTGATAACTAATTAGATTTGGGAAACTTAAGAAAAATTAAAATTTATTTCTTAAACAGATTTTTACTTTGAACATTTGGTGGAAGGCAATGCATTTATTGTGAGAAAGAGAGCAGCACTTGGATGATTTAAAGGACATGATTATTCCAAAGAGAGATGACCATAAGCTAGTTGATAATAGTGCTCTGGAGTTCAGAATAGAACATATATCCATAAATGATGAGATTAGTTGTAGCCTATAATGACCTTTGAACCTAAAATCTAATCAATAGATAGCTTTTTATTTTATTAAAATTTATTTTCTTATGCAAGCAGTTTTTAGGTATCATCCAAATATTCAAGTACTACAGAAGATGTCAAATTAAATTTGAACAAGAATTTTTCTTTTTATTCAAAGTAGAGTGAGTACTGCTTTGTGAAAATAAATGTGATCCTACAGATAGAAAGAAACAGGAAATTACTTTGGCTGGCCAGAATATTTTTGCATCGAGATGTATTTTTTCCCTAGTTTTTTTAGTAAACTAATTTATCTGAAATGCAAACAGATTTGTTTCCTTTATTGTTGTTGACTTTTATGAAAGATTAAAGTGAATACAATTACATTTTATATTTTTAGATGTTTGTCAAATAATTTTCTATACCTTTATTAGTCATAACTTGGGATAGTATTCTATTAACAAAAAGGTGAAATTATTTATTACAGTTTATGTTTGGACTATCACATTATTTTAAAAGTAATAATTCATAACCAAGCTAACCCAAAGACATGTGCTTCAAATCCACCAGCTACTCTTTGGGAGAAAGATGAACAGTCTTCTCCTGTGCAGTTTACAGTTACTGTAAACTAGCTTGGCGGTCAGCTGTGATTCGGTTCTGTTTCAGTGTACACAACAATAACAATTCATGCCCAGCTATTATTTGATTAGAAAATTACAGTTGATAGAAGATATGCTTCTACCATGTAACTATAAAAAAATCGTAACTCTCAAAACCAATTAGTATCGTTCTTTTTATTTGACTGTTGATTAGTTTAACCCATTAAATATAACAGTAATGTGGTCTTGTTTGATCAGTATTTGAACCTATCATACTTAAATGATACCTCAATAACAATTGGTACTTACCTAGTTTTCTTTAGATTTCTATACTGATTAATTAAGGAGCTGAGCTGGTGCAGTGGTTAAAGAACTTGGTTGCTTACTGAAAGGCTGGCAATTCTAGCCCATCAGCCATCCTGAGAGAGGAAGATGGGGCAGTTTTGATACAGTTGCTATGAGTTGGAATCAACGGCAGTGGGTTTGATTTTTATTTACTTGTTCCTTAAATAAGCGTTTACTTAACTTCTGTATTTAAGGTGCTCTTATATCTCTTATATATGTTTAAAAAAGTTTAAAATAACTTATATTGCACATTACATTTGTATTTTTATTTTCAGGAACATTCCATACTTATGATAGATGAAATCAATGATATCCGAATTATTGGAGCCATTACTGTGGTGCTGCTTTTAGGCATTTCAGTAGCAGGAATGGAATGGGAAGCAAAAGTAAGTTGATATTTAATATATAAATTCAAAGAGCTACTATAGAGGAAATGCTCTAAAAGCATGGTGATATTTTCAGATTCTTGTAATTAATTCTTCCATCCAAGTACTAACCAGGTCCAATCTTGTTTAGCTTCTGGGATAGACAAAATCAGACACATTCAGGGTGGTAGTTCAGGGCAGTATGCTCGTAGGTGATTCTTGTAATTCTTAAGTAACACATTTTTTACTAATGTTTATGTATAATGTTATCTTCTGTTGGGCAAGGTGGGTAATGTTTGGAGCTAACAGTTTAGGGTACAGTTAAACCTATACTTGTTACATTTTGAAGTTTCTACTTCCACCTCAGTCTTGATTTGCACTTACCTAGAAATGCTCAAGTCAGCATATTTGGTAGCCCAAATTAAGCTCTTGGCTTTGTGATTTACTTAAAAGGCAGTTTAAAAATAAACATGTTTGTATACTGAAAGATAATACTCATCTAAGGCTGCTTGGTTTTGAAATATCAAAAGTCATGGGTACCCAAACTAGTACCAGTGTTTCCAGGAAAAAATACTGAAGTCATTGGTCAGCTTACTGGCAAAGCCCTCTAAAAATGTTTCCATATCTTTGACAGTTAGATAGTACAGCACCTGACTGGCTTCTTCGCAGATTCTACTGAGGAACTTCAAAGTCTCTTCCAAGTTTCTCTGTTTACTGATCATATAAAAGCCCTATATCTGTGTTGTTTATAAGCTATGATAATATTTCTACCTAACTAAAAATTAGGACAGTCTGCAAGAATAATTTTATCTAGCTTGTTTAAAGTCTTAGTAGTATAACATTAAATCATTCATTTATATGTCTTAACATAACTGACTTTTTTGAAGACAAACAATGTTTTACTCCCTGAGTCAAAATTAGTATATGCAAGTACTTGTTTCTGTAGATGGTCTAGTTTATTTGTGGTTCGGTGTTTTGTTATGATTTGTTGTGGGTCTGTGGTTTTGGTGGGGATTTTTAGTAGTATATGTTCAAATTTATTGACTGGTTTATAAGTGGAGGAAGAGGGTTTGCAGTTCTGATAGTTTAGTCTTTTCTTCCAATCTCATTTAAATTCTCAAAAAACTCGAGAATGATCCTTTCCTTCTGTACCTTCCTTTTGCCTACAGCAATCTCAGGCTCGTCATTATGGTTATACCTGGTATAATGGCTGTTTGTGGCAAATAAGCTCTCAGATGAAGGCTGTAGTGGTAAAGTGGAAGGAATAGAAAAAATGATGGAATGAGAAGAATACAGTGTTTAGGAATTTACAGTGATGCTTTATAGTTTATTGGAAGGCATGTTCAACTTCTGGTCATTTGAAAAATATATGATACATCTAATGTTTGCAGTATATTTCTTTTCCAGTATCTTCAACATTGTGTTAGGTGCCATTGAGTCGAGCGCCGCTCATGGAAACCCTAAGGACAATAGATCTGAACCCTGTCCTATTCTATGTCATCCTCACAGTGTTTGACACACTTGATCCCACCACTGCAGTGTCTTGTGTCAATCCATCTAGTTGAGGGTCTTCTTCTCTTTTGCTTTCCCTTCACCTTAAAAAAACCAAACACTGTTTGCTCATTTAAGAAAAGGTTTTTAGCTTCTAGTTTGTGACTGACTTTGCTTGAGACAATGGAGAAAATAAATTCATTTGTTCAGAGAAGATACATTATAATGGAACTGAATCAATGAATAGACATAAGATGTTCACTTTGATTTTTAATGTTTAAAATTCCAGGCTCAAATTGTTCTTCTGGTGATTCTCCTACTTGCTATTGCTGATTTCATCATAGGAACATTTATCCCATTGGAGAGCAAGAAACCCAAAGGTTTCTTCGGTTATAAATGTAAGTAAAGAATTTTAAAAATTTTTTATTATAGTTTGAATGAGTATTTATGAGCATATTAGTTTTAGATTCAAACGTTCATACTTCTTTTGTGAGAATTTTTTAAAAGGTGTCTCTTTTGGCATTTTATTCTTCAATAGTTGAAGTCATTCTTACATATTGCCATTCAAATCTCAGATGTCATGGGTACCAAAGCATATTTGATTCTTTTTTTTTCTGTATGATTATAATGGAAAAAACATTTTAAAAATTTCCCATTTTAACCAAGTGTACATACAATGCAGTATTCACTGGCATTAATTATATTCACTATATTGTATCACCGTCACCATTCTTACCTCCATTAATCTTTCATTACCTCAAACAGAAAGTACCACTTAAAGGAGTAATTTCTCCTGCTTAGTAGCCACTCGTACATTTTGGTCTATGTGCATTTGCCCATTATAAATATTTAATATATGTAGGAGCATACAGTTTTTACTTCTTTATACCAGACATTTCATTCGGCACATTTTCAAGAATGATAGATGTATCATATACCAGAAATTCTTTTCTCTATATTTCTAAATAACATCCTACTATATGTATGTATTACATTCTGATCATTATCCATTTATCCATTTTTTATATTTTATGATTAAATATAACAGTATATTTTTAATATTTTGTGTTATTGAGTTTGATTCAATGATGCATGCAAATATATAATTTAAATTAGTTTTGTCCTCTTTATATGTGCTGTGTATAATTGAAGTAAAAATCACATTTTCTCATTTTTCTTTGTTAGACACACACACACAAAATTAATAGGTCTAATCTGACTCCTGCTGGTTTATCTTAATCTTATTTCATCCCCTGCTCCCTAACAACTTGACCTTCATTTACTTTCTCAAAATAGTGAAGCCTTTTCTTATCTCAAGGCCTTTATTTATGTTGCTTGTTTTTCTTAAGAATCATGACTGATTTTTGCTCACTAGAGTCTCAGCTTAAGTATTATTCTTTTTGATCTTTCTCTGTCTTTCTCTAACCATTAACTTAAATTCTCACACTTTTATTTTTTATCATAAACCTCCATTTGCAATAATACTTTTATCACCATTTGCTATCATCTATTATTTTGTGATTTTTCAGTGAAATCAAGAAGAATATTTATTTTGTTCATACTTTTCTGTTCATATTTTGAGTACTTTGAAGTATTAGATACCTACCTCTAATACAGGAGCTAGTAATGATTGATAATCCAGTATGTCAGTTAAGTGTTGGGGCTTGCCTTTCAGAATAAATTAAAACAGTAAGACTCTTGAAGCTTTTTGTTGTTTAAATGGAAAAAACCTAAAACCTACTATGCCTTGTCTAAAGTAATAAGGAAGCTTAATGAATATCCTCAAACCAGAATATTACATAGCATTTTGATAAACAATGAAAAATGTAACTCAACACTTTATATAGAAATTGTCAAATGGGAAGCTTATTTCCTCTACAAACTGGACTGAAAATACAGTAAAGTTTAAATGTAGACAGTATGGTATACCAAAGCAGTGGAGCAGGACCTAGGTCAAATAATCATTTTGTTTATAAACTGTTACTTCATTAAAGCAAAGGCTGATATTAATACTTGGTTACTACTAAATAATATTTTGCCCACAAAAACTTACTGATGACAAATTGAAGAGGGGTTAGGTACCATCTATACCAGTTAGTTACTCTTAACCTAAATTATTACAGTCTCAAAAATCCACTGTGTATTAATTGCCAAAATAATATTGTTCTCTACAGCAGAAATATTTCATGAGAACTTTGGACCAGACTTTCGAGAAGAAGAGACTTTCTTTTCTGTATTTGCCATATTTTTTCCTGCTGCAACTGGTATTCTAGCTGGAGCAAACATCTCAGGTGATCTTGCTGTAAGTGTTGTAAACTATTGTGTTGATGATTTTTTTAAAATGGTGTGTGTGTATTTATTTCTAAAGATAGACTTAAAAAATTTTCTTGTCTTTTAGGATCCTCAGTCAGCCATACCCAAAGGAACCCTTTTAGCCATTTTAATTACTACGGTGGTTTACATAGGAATTGCAGTATCTGTAGGTAAATAGCCTTACATTTCTTTATCTTTCAGAAATTTCATGATATACATTACTATAAAAATTTTTTATTTGTTCAGTTTCTAATATCACAGTGACATCCAAAAAGTTAAGGAAAAAAATTAATAATGACTTTTAAAGACATTATATAAACCACCAAATGCTTTAGTGTTCTTTATTTTACTAAATGAGAGAATTATATAATTGCCATACTAATTTTATTATATGAGAATTGCTCTAAGGCCTCACATTTTTTATAATACAAATACTGCTTTGGATTATCAAGACAAGATACAATAGTTGTACTTTAAGACAATAACAGTGGTATTAAAAACTTTTTTTTAATACCATTTACATTTATTACATTCATGGAATCACATTATTTAAAACCCAAAATTAGTCTTCAAATTTTGTTGTGTATATGAAGGAATCGAACTTTAGACTTCATTAACAAACATAATTGACAGTGCTTTAGAGAATTGTTTTGATGATAACAATGGTTCAAAAAGCTATATTTAAAAGAGTTTTACTATAGTAAGTTTTTAAAATTAATTGGTGTGTTCCAATGAACTTTGATAAATGATGATAGTTATAGAAAGGCTTCGGGCCTTTTGTTCATTAGGGTCATTATGAGTCGTGCTCAACTTGATGGCAGTCAACAACGATGGTACTAATCTAGAAAATTTTATTCTGAAATTTGATCACTCTAAATTATCAAAGTGATAAAAATTGTTTATGGAGCACAGTTGAGTACAGTTTCTAGCCAGCACACCTCACACAGAGACATTCTTCCTCTGTCACTGTGTGTTGCCATGATTTAGAAAAGCTTCCCGTGAAACTTCCAAACTAAGATTTATTAAGGAAAAATGCTTGGCGACCTACATATGAAAAGCAGCCAAATTTGAAATTGCTGTGAACTATAGCAGTGTGAGCAGTCTTTCGTCCTCAGTGCATCTAGTTGTCAAGGCTTGTTAGTCTAAAACAGCTAACAATTGACATAACTTCTCTTATTGCCTATAGATTTATTGCTTCAAGTTTCTTTTCATCAAATGCCCTTCATTACCCAGAAAACACACATTCTTGAAATCTGTGCATTTTTCTGTAAAAACTCTAAAATCAAGGCTTCTGTAATATCATAAAAAGATCACATCACCAGTTAAAGATCTTTCATGGTGATCGTGATAGCAGTCATGTTGGGCAGTCATCACTAATATCCATTGCTAAAGTTTCTTTCACCATAAACATTTTAATTTTTCAAACATACTATTAACTATTAGTATGTTAGTACTTATCTCAGAGAATTACAGACTCTTCATTCATAGAATCCAAAATTTGAAATTTCTGTTGGAGTTTAGTAAGAAAATTTCATTTTGCTATACATTGATTTTCCAAGAAGTGATAGAAGGACTATTTGACACAATCTGGCACCAATTGCCTAAATGTTATTTTGAAAATGCATTATTCAGTATTATCTTGGGTAAAATGACATCTTAAAATGATAATATGGAATGATTTATTTTTTTCACACTTTATACTTAAATCCCCGAAATTTATTTTGAAAAACAAGTGGATTGTATATATACACTTTATTGTTAGATGCCACAGGTCATTTCTCACTCGAAATGACTCTGTGCATAACAGACCAGAACATTGCTGAGTCCTGCAGTCCTATCCACAGTGGTAGCTTAGCAAAATTGATGTTTAAGTCCTAATGTGCTTGTATACCTTAAAGATAAATTCACTATATATAGTTTTAATTTAAATATTGGTACAGTTGAGTATGTTTTAATTTGGAAACTAATTTGCTTTAACAGGTAAACCCTTTCTATTTTCTTTTGACACATTCACTCATTTATTTTGTGTGCACTAAGTGTTGGAACAGTAAGGGGCTTGTTTTCTCTGGTGCTCTGTAACAGAGTCACTTAAGATATCTACTTATGGAAGTGATTGTATAACTTGTTTAAAACATTGGCACTCTTGTTGCAAATAATTGTAGTGGTAGAACCTAAGAATATGAAATACATAAAATCATAGCTGCTTTTATGACTTTGATAGCCTGCTTAATATCCAGTTGTTTGAGAGATAACTTTTGGGAAACATAGTTTTATAACCATTATTAATCAAAGTTGGCTGAAGAAATTTAAGAGTAAAGATTTTATGCACTTGGTACTTAGTTTAGTTTTTTGTTTAGCATTCAGTGTTTGATACACACACACACACACGCGCGCACACTTTTTGCCTCATATGGCAAAGCAATAGTGTTAAAAGTGCTTAAGAAAATAATATGTGACGTGATGTCTAAAGAATGTTAATTATTATTCTTTGCACATCATGTGTTATTCCAGATAATAAATGAGATGTTATTTCAAGGTTGTTTAAAAATAGTTTATTATGGGAGATACCAATTTTATACAGAAATGGAAAGCATAGTCTTATGAACCCAGTATACCTGTCAACATCAAAAAAGTTATACATAATATGAACAGCCGATATTTTGTTTCATGTCTACCTAGTTACTTAGATCCATAGGATAATTTTAAGCCAATCTCACATACTTTATATTTTCCTTTTGTTTGGGATAACATACATACAAAAATGTTATAATTCTAATTATAGTTCATTCATATTCAAATAGTTTTTCATGTAACCTTTTGACCTTTAAGAATAAGTAGAGAACACTTGGAGATCTTTGAAATGGTTTCAATGTAGTGTGTTTATATTTAACAGAATTTTAACCAAACAAACCAGGAAAGTGTTCTGATATTCTGTTCTATGACTACTAAACAACTTGTAAAGTATGCATTATTTACAGACAGTTGCCAGGCTATGACCTTTAGACTTATAGGCATCTCTCACCTGCCTTTTAGTGTTGTACAAATTTGCCCTTGAATTGAAATGATTGAACTCATCCTCAACTCAAAAGAAATTTCATCACAGTCACCATCATTTGTGCCACATTAAACATTTTATGTCTTTGGAAAGACGTTGAGCATTTTCTTGTTTTAATCAAGCCAGAAACCAGCTCACAGCTGTTGAATCAGTTCCTACTAATAGTGCCTGTATAGAACACAGTAGAACTGCCCTGTTAAATGTAGAACACCTCACCTCAGAATTGCTACTGTCAAGTCAGTTCGAACTCATAACTATCCTTCATGATGTGAGTCTATGTTCTGCTGTTACTCATCTTGTTTTCAGGGGCCTATTATCTGCAGTGGCCAATCCTGCATCTTAGTTTGTTTCAGTCTAAAAGCTCCGCTAACACCTTTGCAGCATGAGTGACCCTGCTTGTATTTAAAATAGCAATGGCATAGCTTCTAGCGTCTCAGCAGCACATAAACCTCAACAGGGCAGTAAGTTGAAAAGTGAGTCAGACTCTGAAACTAGCTCTTTAACACGTTGCCGCAAATGACGGCTTAAAAAAAAAAAAAAAAAGATGTGTTTCTAAGCACAGTTGTCAATTTAAAAGAAGAAAAGCCAAAGCACGAAGAAATGATGAGGTTACAGAGCTAAATAGAAGATTTCAAAAGGCAGCTCGAGAAGACATAGCAACATATTACAAAGAATATGGAGTCTTCAATATAACTTGCATCTGAAGATCAAGAAAACCATTCTTTCCTGCTGGACTTAGGGGCAACATCATGATAGAGAATAAAGGATAGAAATTGTTGAGGAGTGCATCTTACTTGGATCCACAATCAACACCCTTGGTATCAGCACTCAAAAAATCAAGACATTGAGAAAACACGCTGTCAGGCACCTCTCCAAAGTTCTAAAAAGTAGGAATGTCATTTTAAAGACTCACAAGAGATGTGCAGCATTTTGATTATCAGCCTAACTCCCTAAGAACTGTGTTACTCGAGCTCTTAGAACTACCCCGAAGGAATTATTTTAAAAGATTATAATAATTTTAAAGAGCAGAATACCCCATTTCTCCTACAGAGCACCTAGTAGGTGTGAACCACTCACTGTTTATTAGTAGGTCAGCCCATTTAACCACTGTGCTACCAAAGCACCTTTAAAAAAAAAAAAAGCAAAAACTCATTGCTATCAAGTCAGAGGCTATTCACAACTGACCTGTTGAGTTTCTGAGAGTGTCAGTTGCATGGGAGGTTATTATCACATTATTCTCCAGTATAGCCACTGGCTAATTTGAACTATCATGCCTGGTCTTTTAGTTAGCAGTGCAACAGTGCCAAAAGAGCTCCTTTTTGCAGGAAAATAAGACTAAATTATAATCATATGCACCTGTTACAAGTAATCTACTTATTTTTTAAAGTCTCAGTTAAGAATGAATCTTATTTGTAAGCTAGTATTACCTTTTCATCTATCTGTATTAAAGATCAGTTCATTTTTTTAAAATTCAGGACCATAATGCTTTCCAAATTCTGTTCACAGTATGTGTAATCCTAAAATGATACAACATTGTTAACATTATTTGTTTTTAATGTTACTTGTACTTCAGGTTCTTGTGTTGTTCGGGATGCCACTGGGAACATTAATAACACTATCGTGACAGAGTTAACAAACTGTACCTCTGCAGCCTGCAAATTAAACTTTGACTTTTCATCTTGTGAAAGCAGTCCTTGTTCCTATGGCTTAATGAACAACTTTCAGGTGAGCATGGAATTTACATTATACAGCATTCTGAATTTCTTTAGGAGCCAAACTGCTGTCAGACCTAACCATTGGAATATAGCAACAGCCTAGAAAGGATAACCATTATATCTTTACAAGGAAATATCTCTTAAGATTGGCTGTGGAAAACTAGGTTGTTTATGTGCTATAGAGTTGCCTGTGACTCATGTACAACAGCTCTGAAGCCTGCCCTGCCTTGAGCCAATCTCACTCTAACAAAACTAGCCGCATTGCCCCAGTCACTGTGTCAATCTTTTCATCCAAGGTCTTCCTCTTCTACACTGTCCCAACCCCTCTCGAGCATGATGGCCTTCTCCAAGGACCATGTGCCCAAAGTATGTGAGATGGAGCTTCAAAATCCTAGCCTTCAAGGAGAAACTTGGTTATACCCTCCCTAGAAATACATCAGTGTATAAAATCTGAGGCCATCCAAGTACATAAGACTCCCGAGGGTAGCATTTTTATAACGTGGTATACTATAGAAGTCTTGAGTTCTAAAGATGACATTCAGAAAACAGAAAAATATTTGGAAACATCTCACGTATTTTTGTATAGAAACTCATGCAGCCAGTCTGTAGATGAACTGCTTTTGGTTTTGATATGAATCCCTGCTACGAATACCAGTTATCTGATAATTTGGATGTTAACGTCTGGCAGTCATTTTGGGAAATTGAGGTTATATGTAGTCCAGGCAATTGGAAAAATGAGAGATATTAAAATGGAGAAGACAAAATATATGTCTAAGAATTACATTATTAGCTGCCTTGGTCGCGGTCTCATGGCTTCAGCCTGCGAGCTCAGAGTAGCCTCCAGAAGGTGCGCAGGGCCGGCACGGAGGAAGAGAGCTGGTGAAGGAAGCCGGAAAGCCCGTCCCCAGAACTCTGCCATGTCCATGGAACTCTGCCACGTCAGCCACAGGCGCTGCGTACAGTGAGGGCTGGACACTCCCAGCGGGGCTGTGGACATACATGTAGGATCCAGAGATCCTCACTTAGCCCTGTGCACCTTTTCCAGCAGCAGGTTTGGTCCATTAAATGGGTCTAGATGGATTCCTACCCCTTTTTGAGGAATCAAGTATATTTTCCCTTTAAAAAAAAATTATCTGTGTATATTTATAAAACACATAGAGGGCACAAGGCATAGATACACAGACATGCACATATCTTCTCTGAAGGTTCAGATTGTCGTGGATATTAATAATTTATGCCTTTTTTGTTAATGAGTAAAATCCATGATATGGTTAGATCATAGTTTAACCACTCACTTGGCTTATATTTGGGAGCTGTTGGCATAGTGGTTAAGGAGTTGTGCTGCCAACTCAGAGGTTGGTGGTTTAAATACACCAGCTACTGTGTGCTAGAAAGATGGACAGTCTCCTCCCATGTAGTTTATACCCTATGAAATGGGCTGGAGGGTCAGCTATGGATTAGTCCAACTCATTGGTAGTGAGTTTGAGCTACAGAGTTTTGGCTTTGTTTTGGCTTTTTTCTGGCTTTTTGTAATTACAAATAAATCTAGGTCATATGGCATGTTTACGTTTCTAATAAACTACCAAAATAATTTTCTGAGTCACTGCAAGCTAACAGTTGGCACCAACAGTTTCTTTGACCCTTTGCCAGCATTTGAGGCTGTTAATTTTTTTTTTATTTTAGTCATTCTGGTATGAATATGGTAATATGTGATTGTGATTTCAATTTGTGTTTTGGTAATGGCCACATTTTCTTGATTTTTTTTTTACTCTATCAGTTTCAGTACAATATATTTTATATGCTTCACCCATTTTCTAACTGCTTTCATTTAATTCGAGTTTTAAAGATTCTTTATGTGTTCAGCATTTAAGTCCTTTGTCACATGTGAACTACTTTCAGTAGCATGTCTTTTCATCCTTTTGATAGCCATTTATGGAACAAAAATGTTTTCATTTTGAAGTTTTATATATCTGTTTTTCCTTATATAGATTGTGCTATTTGTGCCAGCCCTGAGAATCCTCTGCTTATCCCTAGATCCTGAAAATATTTTTCTAAAGTTTTCTCAGTAGAATTTTAATTTTTGCAAAGCTCATAATCCATAAGTTAATATTTATATAACATATGAGACTAATTAAAGTTCACTTATTTGCCTATGGCTCTCCAATTGCTCCAACTTTATGTGTTGAAAATACTATATTTTATAGAACTACTTCATTACTTTTGTCAGAAGACAGCTGATCGTAGCTGTGTGGGTCTGTTTTTAGGTTCTCTTTTTTTTTTTTTTTTTGCATTGATTTTTATGTCTGTGTGCCCCAGTCACTGGCCTTCTACCTTTCCAAGCATGATGTCTTTTTCTGCAGTTAAAGGTCAGCAAAGGAGAGGAAGCCTCAATAAGACGGATTGATGTGATGACTGTAACAGTAGACTTGAGCATGGCTTAAATGGTGTAGGCTAGAGAAAGGTTCTGATCTCTTCTTCATAGGGTAGCTGTTAGTCGTAGATGACTCAGTGGCACCTAATAACTTTGTAGATACGATACAATTTTGATTGTTGTTGTTGTTACAGTTCTTGAAATCTGGTAAGTTCATCCTTTTCAATTAATTTTCGAAATGGCTTTAGCTATTTGTGTTTTGGGTTGTTTATTTGTTTTTTGCAATTGTGTATAAATTTTAGCAGAGTGTATAATTAGGAATGATTATAACCCTCTATATCAGTGTGGGGAGAATTGTTCTGTTTACTATGCTGAGTTTTCTAATCCATGGTCATGAATATCTTTCCATTTTATTTATCCCTTTAGCTTTTTCATTTATGTGCAGTATTCAATATATAAGCCTTATTCATAACTTAGATTTAATATTATCTTTTTGTTTTGAGAAATTATAAATTATAATTTTTAATATATTCTGTGTATTTATATTTTGCTATCTTTTATCCTCAGATTGTGGTCAGCTTACTTTAGGAATTTGTTTTACTTTAAGCATTTTTGGCTTTTTGAGGGCTTTTCCTCCCAGAATTTTCTATGTAGATAACAACAGGTACTGACAATAAGGGTTACTTACTTCTTTCTTCCCACACTATTTGATTTTTGTTTTCCTTTCCTTATTGAACTGTCTTGAACTTTTTTAATACTCTTGGATAGAATGATAGGAACAGACCTTTCTTTTCCCTTATTCTTATATTAAAGTTCTCTTTCACAGCTAAGCTGTGTATTTTTTTTAAAAAAAATTCATGGATGATCTTTATAATTTTTAAAGCTTTCTCCTTTTTCTAAGTTTACAGGATGAATGGCTGTTGAATTTTCTCAAAATGATTTCTCTGCATCAATTGAAATTATATTTTTTCTTATTTAGTCTGTCAGTATAATAAAGTGCATTATTTGCTTTCTGAATATTGATGTCACCTTATTAAGTCAGTTACAGCTCATGACAATCCCGTATGTGTGAGAGACATGGTTTTAATAAATAATAGCCAGGATTGTTAGTTGTACTTGGAAGAATGAGAAAGCCCATCTGTTTCATCTTCCTTTTGGAGAAATTTTCAATTTGTAGTCATTTTTAAAGGGAGCCAATTTATTTCCAGTTCAAAGAATCAAATCTTAGATGAAAGTAATTTTATAAATCTAATGACACCACTTCCAGCTTCTAACCATCTTCGCCATATTCAAGATTGTGAGGATGGAACAGGATAGGTTATGGTTCTGATCTGGTGTTCATAGGGGTTGTTAAAAGTTGTAGCCGACTCATGGCACCTAATAAAAACAACAGCTTCAAACTTAAAACAGTACTGTTGTTGTGTACTGTGGTGTTGGAACCGACCCATAGATGACCCTCCAGCAGGTTGTCAGAAGTGGTTAATCACACACAGGTGGAGGTTGCCTTTCCTTCTCCCATGAAGCAGCTGATGCCTCCAGATTGAAGCACAGCTTCTTGCCACTAAGTTATGAGAGTTCCCAAAATGGTTTTATAAATTGTGCAATCTTTCTTTTTGTCATTTCTTACGCTGTATTTGCCTCATCTTTTTTGAAATGTTAGTGCAATTGATACTTAATTCTCACTAATTAGAGTGCAGTTTTCTAATTAACGGTACCTTCATAATTGCCTTGTAAACAATCTTTATGAACATTCTTTTTAAGGGTATTGATCATTATCATTAGTGTTACTTAATTCTTTATGGCCCATATGAACTACTGTTGGGTTTGTGGTCTGATCTTTATGGCCCATATGAACTACTGTTGGGTTTGTGGTCTGAACTACTGTTCGAGTTGATATTTGTTTTGTTTTGTTTTAAATTACTGTATAACGGCAGCTAATAACTTGGAATAGATGCTTGAAAGTGACATTTTAAATCAATTTTAAGTCTATATGAACTGAACTCTATAAGGTTAGTATTCTCAGATGTTTGGAAACTTTTATCTCATGTAAAGTCCTGAAGAAATGAACTTTATGGATATTTTTTTTAAACAGAAGTATTTATAAGGGGAAGGAATTAAATACTAAATATCATTTTGAGGATTATTTTTGAGGGGTGATTGCTAAATCCTAGAATCCTAGAAAGAACTGAAAGAATATAGATTGACAAGATTAAAGCAAAATAACCAGATTGAATTTATAAAATAAATGAAGTTTAGTAACTTAACAAAAAAGAAAAAATCACATTTCCCAAAGTTTTTCATTTTTGTGTGAAACAGTGAAAACTAATTGAAGTTTTTGCTCTTATTTCAGAACTCTACCTTTGTTGTATGATATGCAAATGACTTGACGGCAGTTAACAATATATAAGTGTTAGAATACATTTTTAAGAAAAATTTTTATTGGCATTATTGATCTCATTTTTATTGTATAGCTTTTTTTACTGCATAGTCAAGTAAGTGCCCGTACTTTAAGTGATTATAATATTTAAAAGAATTATGTAACAGGAGTGTTCTCTAGTCACAAGACTAGGAAAACTGTAGGAATGAAAGAAGGTATTCATGCCCAGCTAATGATTCAGGCCAGTTCTGACATTGATGTGTCTGAAAGGCACAAACATTGAGTCCTACCCAGTGACTGAAAATTGCCATTCAGATCTCTTTGTTGCCTTTTGTAGACAAAAGTATGTTGTTTTTATCAAGTCTAGAATGGTTTTGTTTACACAAATAGGAGTTATTGAAGCTACTTTATAATTTAAATAAATTTTAAAATTAAATATACTTTGGAAAATTATGCAAAATGTAAAAAATATACAAATATAACCATTTGTTAATAGAAGACTGGCAATTTGTAGAAGGAGCATAACTGAAGAATATTAAGGAATCCCTACCATATAATTTGCTAATTCTATCCTATGCACCTGATTCCTATTCTAGTGTGATCCTTTAAAGATCAGAGTAGAATTGCCCATAGAGTTTTCAATGCTATAAGTCTTCATGAAAGCAAACTGCTTAATTTTTATCAGTCCATGGAGTGACTGGTGGGACTATTGACCTGATTGTTAGTAACAGAATGCCTTACCCACAACACCACCAGGGCTCCTATGCATTTTGACTAGGCTGTTCTTTTATAATGATATGGATTTACACACCACACACACACACACATGCACACACACTCACTCACACAACACTGTGCAGCCGACTTCTGTGCCTGCAGCCTATGAGCAAGGAGGCCAAATAATGGTTCGGGCTACAATTTGCTCTGGCACAGAACAGACACTATTACAGACCCACGGGGAAAGGCCTGCCGAAGTGGATTTCCTTTATTGCAAGGAAAAACATGTCTGCTCTACTTTATCCTTCTTTTGGGCCTTATATTTTTAATTTTTCTCTCTGTATGTTTTGTTTATTAAAACGTTTTTAAGTTTTCATTTCTTCCAAAACATTTCACATGCAAGCAAGATTATCCGAAAACGACTGGAACAGCACATCAGCAAGAGAATTTGTATGAAGTGCAGGTTGGGCTTAGAAGGGATTGTGGTTCTAAGGATATTATAGGTAATGTGAGGTGAATCTTGGCTGAAAGCAGGGAGTACCAGAGGAATGTCTGTGTTTTAATGATTATGCAAAGGCATTTTACTGTGTGGGTCAAAAAACAAACTGTGGTTAACTCTGAGAAGAATGAGAATCATAGAACACTTGATCATGCTTATGTAAAACCAGTACTTGGACCAAGAGGCAGTCGTCAGAAACAGAGCAAGGAAACACTGCATGGTTGAAAATTGGGAAAGATGTATGCCAGGGATGCTAAGAGAACGAACAGGTTCATCTTAGAGAGGATTAAACCAGGCTACTCCTTGGAGGCAAGGATTTTGAAGGTTCATCTGACATATTTTGGACATGTTGCAAGGAGGGACCAGTCCTTGGAGAGGTGGAGGATGGCAGAAGATGACTCGATGCTTTTGAACGGTGGTGTTGGAAAAGAAAACTAAATATCCATCCCATGAACTGCCAGAGGAACAAACAAATATGTCTTAGAAAAAGTGCAACCAGCGTAATCCTTGGCTGCAAAGATGATTAAGCTTCATTCCATATACTTCAGGCATGTTGCTGTTCCTTAGAGATGATGTCATATTTGGAAAGGTGAAAGGTTGGCAAAAGAAGGGAAGACTCAACCAGATGAATGACACAGTGACTGCTGCATTGGGCTCAAGTGAATCAGAGATGATAAGGATGGCACAGGATAGAAGAGGATCCATATCTTTTGTTGCTATTGGTGGTACACGACTAGACAGCCCCTAACAACAACAAATGATGTTACCATTTAATGCTGTGATATTTTATAATAGATGGATTATTTTGACAGTACTTGATACCATCAAACAACTTCCACCTCAACTTTGTATCTTACTGGATTTTACATATAGAAAATGCCCTAAACTATGTACCTGACTCTCACTTTTGTTAACTAGTTCTTTGCATTTTGCTTTTATTTGCTTTATTCTGGAATGAATGTTATGTATATTGTTTCTCTCTTCAGTCATATGATAACAGGTTACAGATACTAAAACATAATCCCTTTAGTAGATACATAAAGCTATTTTCATAATATTGATCCTTTTTTAAATTCCTGTAAGACTTATTTTTTTATTTCTTTTCTTCATCTAAGGTAATGAGCATGGTGTCAGGATTTGCACCATTAATCTCTGCAGGTATCTTTTCAGCTACCCTTTCTTCTGCGTTAGCATCCCTTGTGAGTGCTCCCAAAATATTCCAGGTAAGAAAGTAGCTTCATACTGTAAACAACATTAAATAAGGAGTTAAAGTACTATTTTTTTTCAAGTTAGGATTATTACTGTTTTACTTCTATAAACTTTAGTATGTATATGGCATGTTCACTTATACATGTGTATACAGGTGCCTCCCCATATTATGGATCTTACAAATTATACTGTAAAAAAGCCCTCTTTTTGAAAAGTAGCATAATAGGCTGCTAACCAAAGGATTAGCAGTTCAAATCTACCAGCCAGACCTCAAGAGAAAATGAGCATCTCTTTGGTCAACAAATGGTCATTGTTAATAAGAACCAGCTCACTAACCGTGGGGTTTGAAAATGTTGAACCCCAACGTACAACAAATTACTCATGTAGTCATCTTCACTGTATGTAATGGAACTTTTAAATCACTGAAAAGCCTTTTCTTGCACAGAAGTAAAGCTAAATAAGAGCCATCTGCACTTGTTTTAACATTCCTATAAATTTGTATTAAAGACACACTTAGGAACCGATATCATTCCTAATTTCCTATACTTCTATAATATACTTCTATGCACTAACTGTTGAGGTGTAGTCTGAATTACTTTTTTTAAAAGTAGTTATTGGTTTTTTTGCTATTTGACATTGTTAAACATGAATTTGCAAGATGTTTCAAAAAGTCTTGAAGTAAAATCTAAAAGACCATAGAATCTCTTCCCACTTAGTGTGATGCCAGTCAAAATGTTTTCTTTTTCAATTGCTTGAATTAGTATATGAATATGTACCACAGATTCTGTTAACATTAATGTTAAATAAGATATTTTTAATTAAACATACAGCTAATACTAAATAGGAAATGCCTAGTTATTAAACCATTAAAATGTTAATTCTTCATCCTTGCTTTTAATGTTGT